CGCTCGGATCCCGATAATCGCCCCCCGATCGTTTTAAATCATCGCCCCTATATGGACGATCGCGTGCAACTCGGCCGGTCCTTAAGAGAGCCCGGGGACTCTCGATAATCCTTGTGGGACCAGGCGGAAAGGTCTAATGGTCCTGCGAAGGCGTTGACAGCACTTGACCAGCCTCCGTGATTACGAAATCAGCTTCCCCCGGCCGGGCGGCCGCCGCGGCCGGACGGGGGCCGCGCAAAAAGGAGCAACGGCACGCGTGCACGCTTGTTCTAACTGTACAGCTGGGCGAGGGGGATAGGCCGGGCATCGGGAGGGGAGGGAGCGTCGGCCGCGGGGAAGGAAATATCGCGTAAAAAGCCGTAACCGGCGAGAGAACGGCCGCGTCAAATGGCAACATTTCATTCCGCCGCGTTTAATGTCGGGCTGGCCATTAGACGCGATCCGCGCGCCGGGTTTAACGCACTCGGGGCCAATCGTGGGATAGGAATAAACCAGGAGGAGTTGACAGGATCGTGTACGACCGAGGGACAGTCGTTCGTCCGCGTGTTCGGTTTCAATGGCAGGCTGATTTGTCTAAGTATGAGAAACCGCTGTTCGCGGCCGGGGCCGGCTCTCCCGCTTATCTGGATCTAGCCAGGCGACAGAAAACGCTCTCCCCGCGTGCCGGATGTGGTGGCTTGCCCGGCCCGATCGGACCAGACGCGGATCGCGATCCATCCGACTGTCGCCGTATACCGGTTTCCCGGACACCTTTGCCACGCACACGTTTCCAGGAGACGCCGCGTGGAAATGTTCCTTTTTCCGCGGGTACTCTGCACCCTATGTGGGCTGAAGGTCTTTGGACGTGCGCCGTGGACGAGTCCATGGGGTCGTCAGCTACCTCCGCCGGCATTCTTCGCGCGCGACGACGATCGAAATCGATCTTGTACCGGCGACACCTTGCCCCGTGATTCCTATCGCGACCGAGAACCTTGGGACCGTTTTACTGTTGAGAATTTAATGGGAACAGAGGGGAACTCCGTGTTACACCTATGATTATGTTATATTTACTGCTACTCGGTTATAGTGTGAACCGACGTTTAATGCGGAACGATTAGAGGAGGAAAATCGAAGGAGGCTATAGTAATTGGCAAACGTTTCGATTATACGCCGCAGATTTCACTCGAACGTGGCGCATTACACTCGCGGCTATAGAAATTGTACCACTTTAGAAATATCGATGACTCCGCTTCGCGGGCATTTCACGAACGATCGTCTATCCTATTTACGTCGCCCGGTACATTATACGTTTGATCTATACCGGGGAAAGTATAATTTATGACAATGAGTCGCTAAATAGTTCAGAATTCCAGTTTAAGTATCAATCCCCCGTTCCGAGCGTCGACGTCCCGTGAAAGTGATCGAACGTCCACAGCGAGGATACTCTCCGAGGAGTTAGCCCGACGCGACCGGCGTAAAGCTGACACGGAGGATCGCCGGTGCGTTGACGAACGTCGTGAAAGATCATCTCGGATTCCGCAGAAAAACGGGCAGATGTGTTTATAACGTCGTTCGTCGCGAGCGGTCGGGCGACCGAGAGCGCGGTTTCGTATCGCGAGCGGCCGAGTTCCATGGGTTTTGCCGTGTTATGGAGCTGCGATTTTCTTGCTCGCCCAATAAATTATCGCGAATGAGCGTGACGGGGACACCTGTCGCACCTGCTCGCCGAGGAACCTTCTATTAAGCACTTTTTCTCCCGGACGCTCGGTCTCCCGGAGTTTTTGGGAAATCCGCGCGACACTCGGACGCTTCATCGAGAAACTGGAGCGCCGCGTGAAAAAGGGGTTAGAAAACACCGTGGGTAACACGGTAATTTAATACGCGACACGAAGACGGACAATCGCGCATTTTCCTACCGGAATCACCGTTCAAAGAGCGATCGTTACTATCCGGGTGAACACGACGCCGGTTTATCGCTTTCTTTTATCGCGGGAAACAGAGGAAAGACTTCGACGAGTCGTAACCGCGGGAAACACTATGTACGAGAGAGGTCGTTTCGCTCCCCCTGCCCCGTCCGTACCGCCCGAAAATCAGCAACGAAGGTCAGAGGCATAAGAGCGACCGTTGATGGAAATATCTGGCGAGACGCTTCGCTCAAGATGTTAAAACCCATAAAGCGTTAAGATGATCCCGGTGGTAACGCTGAAAGCCGGAGTTATAAGAGCGCCCCGGCGTCGCGGCTTCAACGACTCGGAGGCCCGGAATCCCAGAAAAAGCCCGCTTCCAGGTCACCAGGGGAGAGAAAGACAGAGGGAAAGAATGAGACAAGAACAGAGCGAGAGTGAGAGAGTTACACAAGGGGAGAGAGAAGCGAATGCTATCTGGCGAACTGATTTATACGACGCTAGATTGTACGTTGTACACCTTGTCTTATCTGTCTGAGATGTATGCACCGCTATCTGGCTACATTTACGTCACTAATTACACGCGGCCGCGCGTGCACTTTACATTTTAAAGGTTACATCCGTCGAGCTTTAGGAGTCGCAAAATCGAAGCGCAATTAGGCATAATGGATGACGGCCGGCACTCGGGGAAGAACATCGCGTTTCCTAGACGGTTTTCTTGCCGGTGCCCTCTCCGGCGCTTGTCCGCGGCTCATCAAACGGGGCGTCCGCGGTTTTATGAAACGCGAGAGATAAGGGGGGCTGGCATTAAAAGCGATCACGCTAAGTGCCCGGTAACATTTATCAAGATACGAAACGCGACCGCTTAATCATCTATGGGCGCGTGCTCGTTCCAGAAGCGTGCACGAACGGAGCGCGCGGTTTTTCAGGCGGGCAACAATAAGGAGGCCGAATACCTCGCCGGTATTTTTCGTTGGCGTGCGGTAACCTTTTCGAATTGAAAACCTCGCGACGCGTGGAACACGGTCTCAACGTTGGGTTCATTCATTTAGAAGGGAATCAGAAATTTCAGGGTGGACGATTGGAATATGCATTTCTGTGGTTGCGTCAGAGTCGACGAGAATAGTTGACAGATAATGTTTATGAAACTCGGTACGCGTGAATTCGACGCGTGAACTTAGTGGTAAATACTGATTCGATAGAGATGATTTTTGATTTCCCATAGCTCGATCGATAATGAAAGAAACAACGAAGGAAAAGGGGACAAAGACAATGCGTTGTCGATAGAAATAAGTCTCTCCGTTTGGTTAGTTGATATCGAGTAGAAATAGTTAATAACGAGCAATTAGATAACGGAGGAACGAAAGAATCGATACGAAATGATTAATAAATGTTTCTATCTATCTCTGTCGCGAAAGAACGAACGGCACATGAAACACTCGCGATCCTCGTGGCAGCGAACGTGTTAAACGTTCGGCCGCTCGGGACAAAGGAGATAATTGTCGGCGCGCCGCGATTTTTCGTAACCGGCAACAGTCCAAGGGTGGCGAGCGGAGGTCAGCCTCGATCGCCGGCTAATTAACTCTCTATCCGGGTAATTGCGCGACACAGGAATGCCATAAAGTGACACGGTCAATAACTGAAAGTCTATATCAAACGGTCGTTACGATTCGCGGTACGGTGAGTAAAGGATCCCATAAATGTATCTGTGCGGTAGCGCGGAACAAATGGGAAAATATTTCAACGCAATAACGGAGAACAACGAGCATACGAGTCGCGGCCGTGTAAGAGTTATTGGTTTTCGGAAGGGAGCGATACCATCATGAACGCCGCCCGTAGACTCCCATCCAGCCATTTTCCGATTCAAATCGATTCGGCCCAGTAAACGTTACGGCGATCGTCGTGGATGGAATTATATTTATTCCCCGCGCACCGGCGTGCCCGTTCCCCGTCCGTGTTACAATCATTTGCGCATGACTGCGAGCCCGGTTTACAAATCGTTCGCTTGTACGTTCCGTTGAAACTAATAAGGCCAATTAGTTCGAGCCCCTCTTAGGCCACTCGTGAGCTTTTCGAGAGCCACCGAGGATCCTAATGCCTTCTTCAATTAATCAGTCGACCGGAGAATTCCGAAATTCCACGTACAATTTGCTTCGTGGAACCAATAATTACGAATCATTTGATATCAGGGTTCTTAGGTTATTACCTGGTCAAACTTACGAAACACTCTCATTCGATAACGTTCATCTCACGCATTGTAATTGTTCTCAAGCAATTTGAACGGCGACCACTGTGACGGTCAATTCAATGTCTATTCCATACGATTCCCAAAATCTTTTATTCATAACCGGCGGTATCGAATGGAAAAATTCCTGGTCGATTCGCCTCGCGATCCTCGCCGGGATTCCCGGTTTCCTTGCCCCGGGACGAGCCGATGGCTTTAATTTAACCACTTAGCTGCCAGTTGCGGCTCAAGTATCGGGCAACCTTCACCGGAATTCCTGTCGAAGGTACACCGGAACGGACTCCGGAATGCTGGAAATTCGCGCGGCGAGGATCACGGCGACGGCCACTGTAGCCGGCGTTTCCGTCGCCGGTGCATAGGAAAGAAGGGGAACGTCACTGCGTTGTTATCTCGCGGCGTTGGCAGAAGTAATATCGTACGTGCTTACGGGAACGCGACGTCGAGGGTGTTACCACGGTGGCGTTTCATCGATACCGGCGCTGGCCAACGTAGGATCCGCGCGAAATTGGGAACGGGAATTCTTGGGAATGCCTTCCGCGCGGATTTCGACGGGGGAATCTCCGGTGAAATGGACACGGTCCCGGTGTTCCGCCGTCGCAGAATCCCGTTGGAATGCTTATTGAATGCAGCCGGTATTTTTCTTTCGCGTTTCGCTCACCATTAACCCGGACATTCGCGCGGAGATATATTAAGCAGTTAAAACGCATTTAGGAATGAATTTTCGGGTAAGAACCATTCGTTCCGGGACGCGACGAAGATATCCCCTTTCCGCGGCCTCGCGCAATAATTCACGGATATTACTGAAGACATATTTCTTGCGCACAATAAAAGAGGAGCAATTATTAAGGCGCTCTCCAGTTTTGTTATAATACCTCGCTGGGGAAATAGAGTCCAGTAATGGACCGCGTAAGCGCAACTCATCCCCGTTTTTGCCTCCTTCCGCCCCTGAATAAATCTTCCTGCAAATTGCCAAGAAAATGCTGAAAGTAACGAGGGAGTGGAAACATCAAAGAGAAACTCACCCCGCGAGTTCCCGATGTAATTGCTCCATTATTGCCTCGAACCGTTGCTGACCGGTCGCGAGCGCCTCGGCTGTTCCCGAGATCGCATTTTCATGTTAATCCAATTACCTGGCGTTTGTCTATAGAAATATTCTGCTACCTCTCATCGAATAGTAACGACGAGTCGAACTGTTAATCTCATCGATGCCTAAAATCGCGGTCACTCGCAGTTAACGGTGTAGCCTTCCGCACTCCATCGTCAACAGGAAAGAGAATAACACGATACCTGAGCAAATCGAATGACTGTAATTCACTGGGTCGAGCGACGACTGTTCGACGACTTTTCTATATTATAAATAATCCAACCTAACCCGGTAACATCCTGCAAGATAGACCCGCAGTAACGACAACCCGGCTTAACGAAATAATTCATGGATATTACAGTTTTATCCGTTTCGTGTAATACGCCGCGCTAAATCGTCCGGCAGTCGACGTGTTAACACGTCCGCGGCAACTGGCGGTAATTCACGGTTCGCGGGGATAATCCTTATTATCCCGGAATGTCTTCCGGGCGATCGGGGCGCGGGGAGGACGGAATCCGCGTCCCGACGGAAGGCAGCATAACAATCGCGATACGTAACGCTTGTACGCTCGCGCGGGTACAACGGGTCGGCGAGCGTAACGACACATCAGGCATCCGAACGTTTCCCGACGTCGCTGTTGCCGTTCGCCGGCGCTGCTAATGTTGCTACCGGCTGCTGCTGGCCCGGTAAGCGCGGCGAGCCGAGCAAACATACCTCGAGGGTTCTCGATTCTCCGGCTGTGGAATTTATCTGGATACCTGTTGAACATGCAAGATGGATCGCTACGCGCTTTCCCGACTTTCGCCCGGCTTCTCAGTTAATTATCGCGCGGCGGAGGCGTCGCTGGTGACGCTGACTCGCGTCCTCATTGTTAACCGATCCTGGCGGGCGCGTTCCGCCGCTCTCGAAATCGCGAATGGTATTCGCGATTAGCACGACTGTCGCGGCAGTCTTTCGCGGGAAGGGGACTCCGCTCGCCGTGGACACTTATACGGGGTGTCCTGTGATGTTTGGTATTCGGGGTATGTGTGTACCGACTCCTCGCACTCGGCAGTTTTCCGATAGAAATATTAACGCTGCTACGAGTCAATTTCACGCAGAGTGGAGGTTATTAACATTTAGTAAATGTTTACAACTTTGATTGATGCGACAGAGATGTGTATTTTAGTTGTATATCTTTATACGTAATTATTGTGACCTAAATGAACGAATTTTTCTGAGAGCAATAGAATAAACTGTATAATAAATGTCGTAAAGGTAGGGTTGATATTAACTGATGGAGATGACATTCTGTAGAAGTAACTAATAGGAAAACAGGTATAACAACGAAGCTGTTTCACTTGAAAATTTCGAGGATCGATCTATATACGAAGATCATTATAACACGTTTGGAAAGTGTCGAAAGTAACAGCGGAATTTTGGAAGAGCCTGATTTATGCGTGACTGGTGTATTTATCTTCGCGAGAGACACTCGAAATTGTCAGATACGATCTCGCGATTGGCAGACATCTATGATCATCTTATCGGCGGTTTGTATCAACATTGTTGTTAATTGAGATTGCGCGCCAGATGTCGAATATTGTAGAGCCGTAATCAGGCTACTCCAAAGTTCCTTCCATCGGCGCGGTTTTTGCGCATCCTTGAAAGAGCTGTTCGTTTGGAATATTCTTTTCATGTCCATTAGCTACAGAACATCAAAGATGTTACTCTTGTCTAGGATATTTAAAAAAGAAGCGATTTATCTTCGTCCGCGTCTCCGAGGCTGACGTTGGAAGTCGCTTTTACTCCGGCAAAAACATGACCGCTCACGCGGGCAAATAAGGAAATCGAGGAAACCTGGAATTGATATTCGAATGAGCGAAGAGGCGAGCGAAGATCGAGCCGGGATAATCGGCGAATTTCGCTCGCTTGACCTTTAACCGGGATCGCTGGTATTTCCGGTAGGATCGAATACATCGGCGTCCGAGTCCGTTTTTCCAGGCCGCGCGTTCACCTGGCGCATTACGTCAGGATGCGTCGTTCGGGCCGCAGGTCGTGAACCCCGCGACAGATGACGGAAATAACCGACCTAACTCTCTTAGCACTGCGAGACTAACTCGAGAGATATACTCGTGATACTATCTTTACTCTTTTTCCCCCCACTGGTTGACGGGCTGACGAATGCGTTAAGTCCCATTCACACGAACCGAGGAAACAGAAAAAAACCGCGAGCAGAATCACACCTAATTGACCGGAGCACTTCGAGCGACACGGACTCGTTTCTTGGACACCGAGGAAGACTGACCTTTATCCGACAAGACTCTTACACCCATGTTGCCTCCGTTATACCACCATATCCACAGAACTCACGTGACTACTTTCTACGAAATAGAGCATAATGTTGCACGAAGACTCAGTTTTACATAAGAGTACCGAAGAATGTCGAACCCTTCATCCTCGATCCTTTCTCTATCGGAAGACATAGGTTCCACAGAATAAACGAAGATCCAAATCTATCCGTTCCTCTTCCAATCTGTCCCGCGACAAGTTCGAAAGAAGAAAGTGACGACTTCGGCAGGTCTAACCCAGATCCAAATGCCACGAAATTAAGGTATCCGCGCGCGAAGTCCGCTTTTCCACGGCGCGCGGTTTCTCTTTCTCACGGCGAAGATTTCACCTGGGAGGTTAATATCGGAGGCGTCATAGAGAAACAGATTGAAGAGCGCGGCGGCCGAGCGTCTTCTCTCCGCGCGGGACACAGCGGGAAGAGCGTGGGCTAGCGGCGATCTCGGTCATTCGGCCGTTGTGAGGAACGCTTTTCGACGTTTATCTCGTCTATGTTTATGCCGTGTCGTCTTTTGGCGTCGAACCGGATTTATCCGGCGCTCCCGGTGCACCGGCTACTGTACTCGCGACACCTTACTCGACTTGGCAAAGCGACTTTTCCGAAGGTAAATATAGCGGCCGCTCACGGTACACTCACGCCGTTCGGCAGCCGATGCCAGATACGCGGACGGATGGTGTTCACCTGGCTGGTGGGGATCTTTGGCAGACGCGTCCGTGTAATAAGCGAGATCCGAACTCGACGAGTTCTAGGTACGTCACCTAGATACTGGCTATGACGTTCCAACGGAAATATGCTGACCACCTTGTTGGAGATGGAGAAATGTCTTCTATTAAACCATTAAATGAGGACACTTCTTGCGGCTTTTTAGCCTCCATCAGTCGCCGGTGCAACAAGGTAGCGACATAACATGGCTGTTCCCTTTTTTTTCCCTCGATTTTTCGACGCAATTAAACCGAGGAAAGTTCCATCGATCAGGAAATTCGCGAGAGATTCCGTACGGTTCCCAGACACGGCGGCGACTAAAAATGGCGAGCCGTTACGGGGAATCGTGTCGCGTTGCAAGTTTGCTGCGGCCACCGATTGCCCTGGGGCCACCATCTTTCAACGTGCTGCTCTTTGTGGCGGCGCAATTTCATTTCGCGTTACTCGATCGGGGTTTAACCCGATCGGGACGAAATATTCAGCCGTGAAACCGTGAAAAATAACGCTGCCGTCGCTGGGACAGCGCCATTTTGCGAATGGGGTTCGCAGAGAAATCTTCCGCCGTCGAACCGGAACTTTGACAAAGGAGGAGTATCGAATCAAACCTAAAATATCCAGCGGATTCTACTCTCGTCAGCTTCTATCTCTAAATTCTCGTAATATATTTCAATGGGAGTTCAGACGAAAATGGCTGCTTTAACATTAGAACTGCCGAATGGATCAAAGTAATCCATTCGTAATTTCTCTTTTCCCAGTTACCGAAACGGGCGTTATTGCAGCTTGCCTTAGAAATGACTAAATAAGTTATTCCCGAGTGCTAAAGAACAAACGTTTCCCTCGAACAGAGAGTGTCGCCCTAAACGGTACCTGCCGTTTTTAGCGACTCGATATCGTTAACGGGAGCAGGTTGTAAAAATAGCCGGATCGATGTAACGGGAGCGAACCGTCAATATTTATTGTAAGGCTTAGCGGGGCTCGCTTGATTATCACGAAAATTGTATCACGGCCGACGGGGGTTGCGATAAGAATTTTCACCGACGCCGCGGCTCCCGGTTACACGCCGTTCGCCGCTCGACGCATTCGTCCGTCGTGACGGCTGTATGAACGCCTACCTAGCGAGTTGGCCGTGCACCGAGACGTTCTTTCCTGCGCGCGGTTTCCGCGTTCTCCTCGGTTCGTCGCTGTCGAGAAACGCGCGAAACGTAGTTAGCCGCCGGTTCGTGGCCAACACAACGATTTCACTTATTCCTGCCTCGGACACGGACGTTTGACTAAAAACAACATTGTATTTTCGAGGAAGCGGCCACGTTCGCTAACAGGAAAATACATTTCCTCGGAGAACGTTCGCGTTCTCCATTGGACAAATGAACTTTACGGATCGGTAATCGTTGCTCGATAAATATTAGCGCACGAGGATAGGGGAATACAATCGTGCCCGTTGCAAAAGAGAGACTCCGCTTTTGTTCCGAAGGCAGCGCGCTACCGTTCTTCCATTCCTCGCCTCTAAAAGCATGATTAATTGCGTGGGCGATTAACCTAGCCTACGAATTAACCCCCAAATGAATCAACAGACGGGAATTTATTAATCCTCCGCGTCGAATTCGCTGGTTTCGTCACGGAATTTAAACCGAGCGGACGTTTTCGTTGTATTTTATCTTTTACGGGTTCGAGCACTGCATTCGTCGGCTGAAATTTTTCCGTAAAACGTAACGTTCCATTTTTCCTTTCCACGTTGATCATCCTTCATTCGGTAAATTCACTGGATCGTAGTATTTCAAGCAAATTTACGTGTATACTTCCGCACGAGACTCATTATTCCTCCCGGTGCGAGCATTCCGTCCGACAAAAGCCGAATCAATTCGAAAATTGGCTCGATCCTGACGACCAATCGTCGCTACGTCGCCAGTCACGCGGACCTTCCGTATCCATTACGCAGCGGAGAGCCGTAATTCGTGGAACGATACGTCGTATCGACGCTGGCACCGTTCGTAATCGGTCGCGTCCGCCCACGGAAAATCCGGCGTCCATTAACACTTCGCGGAACGTTCGACGCTGTTTCGCTTTTCCGTTTCATCTCGCATTTTGCGATTGCGTTTTTCTCCCTTTCAAACGATAATCCACGAAAATTGCCATTGTTGCGGCCTTTGTTTTTCGAGGAGGTGCGCACAAAATACGGGATACACGGTGGTCCATCGCAATTTCATCCCAACTGTTGCTCCTTTCAAAAAACGTGTTATAATTTAGTTCCGCGGTCGACGATTCGCCGAACAAAGGTGACTGACGAGTGGAAACATCGAAATTTCGCGGGCAGAGAATCGTCGTGCCATCGACAAGCCCGCGGAATGTTAAAGTGCCGGGTAATGCGGTCCGATAATAATTTTCACGGACGGATCTAGGATGTTTGGCCAACGGCCGGACGGACGCGTTGACGTATCCGAGGCCGTCACGGTGACTCCGTGACGACCGACGCCGTCACAAATTGCGTCGGAGCCGACCGACTAAATGGACCGAGACGAACGCGCCACGCGCGCTAGCGATCGACGCCGCTGTAACTGCGATTCCGTTCCTCTACGAGCGACACGTATCGATCGATCGTAAACATTTATAGAGCCGCTCTCCTTATTCCTTTCTTTCGTTCTTTTTATAGTTGATTGTCGCATTGTTGCGACAAGCAGCTATTAGACGAACGCGAAACTGCTACATCTGTCTGGAAAAAGTCTACGTGCTTTTTTCTTCCACCATTTTGTATAAGTTATCTTGCCACTTTTGCGATTGCTCTGCGAGGTAACGAAAGATTTTCATAACGGTTCACTTTATTCAATTATTTTAACAATAATTTATTTGCCGAAACAGCGTAGCGTATAGACTTTAGTGGCGAAGCTGCGTGAGGCGAAAGATTTCATTGGTTGCGACTTCTATAAGGATACAGGAATTTGGGGCGTGAAGATTAGGGCAATGAACTGCATTTAGAATTTTCTGGAAGGTGAAGGGTAATTTAACGAATTAGGTTAATGACCGATGACGGTCCGTAAGCGCGTTGGACAAAGAAATGATACAAGAAAGTGACAACAGAGGAGTGAGTTGGTGATAGGTAAAGGCAAGGATAAGGACACAATAACAAACAGTTGGTTTCAGCAATCGGCTAGTAGAGGTGACGCGAAAAAACCAGAAGTGTAGGGAAGTATAAGAAGCTAGAAAAACTGAGGAAGCCGCTACATTATAGGATCAACGCGTTTTTAACGTGAACAACGATTCTTTTTAAAAATATCCGTTCCACAGCCTTACCAGGTTCAACAGACTTGAAGTAAAAAGTTAAATCTTTATTATCGAAGTATATACTAAAATTAAATTAAAAACAATTCGCAGTGGCGACTGATAGAAAAGAGCAAGCGCTGCCCCTGAAAACAGTACATACTCAATTTAAAAAAGAGACGCGACTTTGACCGATAAGGGAATTCTATCGAGCGATATTATTGCACAACACAATGGTAACTACAGCTATCGATGCACGTAACAGAACCTCGACCATCGATGCTCGCGTACTTACGCGACGTTCATCTGTCCGACACCGCTACGAGACATGCGTACGATTTTCAGGTGCGCCGACCACTCCGCTGAAGCTAGTTATTTTTTTACGAGCATCGCAATCACCGGAGTTATAGTTCGATAAAAGGCAGAGGGCGGAAACGAGTGACGTTCAAGTCGATGACGCGTACCCCATGACGTCCCGTTTCGGCCGATCGACGCTCATATATTTAATTCGGGAGGCGTCGGGTTCACGGATCAGTCTCGCTAGACCTTGACGGGACCGCGGAAACAACTTTTGGCAGCGGCACGATCTAACGGTTCGTCGCGCTGCGACTAGTTTTCGGGACCCGCCAGCTGCACGAGCCCGCGCTCCGATGTCCCGTAATTGCCTCGCCGCTCGGGCACTCCTCCGCGGACTGTCGGCGCAACGATTTTTCCGCAATCATGCGAGAATCAACTTACAAATCTCATGGAACTTGAGCTCCCGCCGCGACCCCGTGCCACAACACTGAATACATTCGCGATGTTACGTTGGTTACTTTGAATCGATTACGACAGTGAAGTTGTACAGGAAGAAGTCTCTTCGACGCGCGGAATGATGTTTCCGTGACGAGGATCCACGCTAACTGACAGTGACAAATCGCAGTGTCCGCGTGCAGTGTTCAGAAAAAACGAAACGAGCCGAGTTTCATGGACGCAACCCTGAAGCATGTCCTGCAAGAATCGCGTCAGCGTGACCTCGCGCATTCTGGGAACGACCAGGCGGCTGATCTCGGTAAGTCCCGATGGTAATTGACATCCCCCGGCGGGGAAAACGGAATTTTTGAAAACGATCGCCTCCTCCGGAATAACATAGACGGTCCGTGTATCGCGATGGTTCTCCGCCGCCGGAGGCTGGTGGCCAACGTCAAAACGGACAATTGATTCCTTTTTATTGCCCCGGCCTGCCTCCTCCGCTGGCAACCCCTCTTCTGGACGTTCTCCTCATTTGTTCGCGTTCCTTGGCATGACGTAGCCGAAGGAACGCAGATATATCTCTTTCACTGTTGGCAATTGGCCCAGTTACTAATGTACATCCGCGAACGAATGACGCGTGTCTTTTCTTCACGTGATGGCGGCCCCCGGTGACGCAACGCTCGCATATAACCGTAACGTTAGCGGGACAATGAGAAAGATTCATGCCCCGCGCGCAGTCTAAACAACCGGACCGCGAAGTTTCCGTTGGTACCGAACGACCCGCCAACATGGTGCGACGTCCGCGTCATAGCCGTAAACTTTTTGGAAACGATCTTCGAATTGGTCACATGCTAGCACACACTTTTCTTAGACTTCTTCTCATGCTCACGAGGCGAGCTTCATTGTCGACGGAACCGATCTAATTCTGAAGTAAGTTATCCGGAATGTTCGGTGACGTTCTCGCCACGGTTTTAGCCTGTCGGGTATAGTTTTTCAACGAAGTTACAGCCTACGTGTCGCTGAAGATGAAAGTTCGAGGGAGATTCAGATCGATCGGTGTTCTCGATCGTTAACGATGTTTATGTAACCGTAGATTAATTTGTTTATTTAGTGCAGTTTTGAACGATCGCCGGGTTCATTGAATTTAATCAGCGGCTAGCTGATTTATCTGCTACTCGAGTCTCTGTGTGTACTGTGACGCGTTTCCGGTTGATATCGATCGAAACAGAGCTCGATTAATTGATTTACCGTCCGCGAACGATACTTTTAAGATCGAGAACAGAGAATTAGGGATACAACGATGTTTGTCGCGTTTTATTAAAAAGAGGTGTAAATATTGATCCTCCGAACGAGTCATGTGTGTGATAAAGATATGAAATGGAATTCAGTATCGCAATGATACGATTGTTTTTACGTTGGCGATGTTCAGTGGTTAGTTTCTCAATCTTTTAAAGGTACGAACGTATAGAAAAGGGTGAGATTACTGAAATCTGTACTGGTACCGATTGAAATCTTAACTAGTAAAATATGAAACAAGTCAGAAAGTATTAAAATGGCGAGTGGAGCAGTCTAGAATAAATCTTTTCGCGTTCAAGAGCAAAACGTATCATCCCTTGCGGGGATCGAACCCGCGACCTTTGGATTAGAAGTCCAACGCGCTATCCTCTGCGCCAAAGGGACTGTCAAGCATACCTCTATAAGTCTGTAAAAGTTGCTCGAGCAATAAAAGAACAAATTCAATGACGCAAACTACAGTTATATTGAAACGAGCACAACTTGGAAGATGTCGCGGAGAAACTATTAGTCGACCGCCATTACGTACCACATATGTATATACTGACCGAAGTTCTCAAAAATGGACTCCTTTACCAGTATACCTATCATTCTACGCATTCACGATACTACCTTGTATTCATAGCTGCCCGCTGCCAAAACGTTTAATGCAATGTTAACTTCAACGTTTTGATTCAGCTGAAATTAGTCCAAAATTAAAATAGCGACTCGCCATCATCGCAGTTGTGTGAATCAAGAGTGGCTCAACAAAATGTCATAAAACTATATTTAGTATAAATTCACTTCAAAGTTTTATTCGTCAGAGTTCATATCGATCGAAAGTCAACCGAAAAATTCGAGTCCCACGCCAAAAAGAGTATGAACCATTTTCCCGGGAAATAGGGGTTGCAAATACATCCGTCCGCAGCATCAGTCGGCCTCCCCGCGTAACGTGCAACGGAAGAATACTGCAACCACGGTCGGCTGACGGTCGACGCTAATAACTGCGTATCGATCGTATCGCGTAACGGCGTGATCCAGTCACGGGACAGAATTTCGAGAACAGCGCCGCGCCGTCACCCGGCAAGATCTATATTTGCTGTGTCGGATGCCGTTGACCATTGTTTAGAGGGCTGTATGCTCGACGTGACGTCACGACGGCGCACCGTCACGTGAAGAGACGACACGCGCGTAGATTTATTCGGTTACGTTCATTAGCGGCCGGGCCCCGTGCCAAGAACAAAGAGGGAAGCTGGCGTTCGGGCGAACCACGCTGCTCTCGCGGTGGTTCCTTGAGCGGCGCCTAGAGCACCCCGAAGAGGGCCGGGGATCGATTAAGAGTTTCGCGAGCCTGGCTTTGCACGAACCACCCGGGACACCGGTGTAGAGCTAATATTTGTTGGGGTACCGCAATAAAGACGCGGATGGAGGACACCGGTTATGAAGCGAAAGAATGCTTTACAGAAGTCGAGTCCTCTAGACGTAGCGCGATCTCCAGACAATTTCACCCCCTTGCTCGAACTTTATGGGATCGCGGATTTTTAAGTAACGTTTCTTAAGGAACTCGAGGAATTTTTGTGACGGAGCTTCTGATATCCTTGAAATTATTTGCAGTACTCGCCTGCGATAACGCAATGGCTGTTTCGGGGTTAGACCTATCGCAAGTTGATCATTCGAGGGTCAAAGACTTGATTCTTGTTAATTCATGAAAGTGAAGTGACAGAGGGTCAGTCGGCGACCAGTCGGTCGCATTATTCGCAGGATTTCGCAAGAAAACGTTTTGTAACGATATTATTAGCGGCGTCGCACGCGCAGCAGTAAATTTAGACCGTTCATAACTTATCCTTTCGCAGCGGTTGAAATAGGTTTGTTGTATAAGATTACGATCTAAACGAGTCGCGATCAAGACCCCCTAGAAGCCGTTTCACTTTTATAGGAGAAAAGTGTTT